GACATGGGGGGGAAGAGAAGAGGAAAAGGGAGGAAGTGGATCCGTGGGCGTGCGCCGCAGCCGCCGCTGTCCCTCTCCCACCCCCACCCCCACCCACGCCCACGCCCTTCCCGTGCGTGTATACCCGTGCGTGGGTCCACAAGCAAAGCCCGCACTACACGAATAAAGGAAGCAACGCAAGAAAGCTGCAAGAAGCGCACATTACAAGCAGACCATCCGTGTGTCACTCAATCTCGCTCGCTCGCTAGCGTGCTTCCTCCTCCTTACCACACGCAGACAGACGCATTTTAACCGCAACGTGAGAAACAAAAAGTGGATCCCATATAAATTCAATCCCGCGCATCCTTGTCTTTTTCTTCTTCTTCCGTTCTTTTGTTACTGGCGGTCTGGAAGGAGCTGGCCATTCTCGATTCTTCCCTCCCTCCCTCCCTCCCTCCCGCCACGCTTATTTGCGGGTGCTTCCCTTTTGTTCATACCCTTGAGGTTGTTGCGGTTGTGTGGGTTTTGCTTTTGCTCTTTTTTTCTGTTTCTTTTTTTTATTTTTCCCTCGTAAATTTTCCCTCGCCCTCGGATGCCTGCCCCTCCCCTCGCCCGCGCAACTACGCCACGTGGTGGCGGAGCAGCAACAGCACGAAGAGGAGCGCCGCGCTGAAGGCGAAGACGCAATCGTCCCACAGCCACCCGTCCTGCCCCTCCTCCGGCAGGGCCCCCAACGCCGCACTATGCTGCTGTCGATTTTCTTTCGGTTGCCCCGGCGGCTTCTCCTCCTCCTCCTCCTCCTCCTCCTCCGCTTCCCGAGGCCCCGGCGCCGTGGTCGCGGCGTGGCTGTTTTCAGCGACGGGGGCAGCAGGAGGAGCAGCAGCAGCACCCCGCGCCATCGGCATCGGCAGCTGCAGCAGGCTGGAAAGGCCGTACTGCTGGTGCGAAAAGTACAGCCACCACCACTGCAGGTTGAGGGCCATCAGCGCCAGTTTCACAGCGTAGGCGCTTCCGCTTGAGCCAAACTCCATGGCTCTGTCGTAGTAACGCTTGGCCAAGTACAGCCGCATTTCCTCCGCAAGGACGGCGTCTTGAACGCCCGCCGCTGCCGTCGCGTTGCCGGCGTCGCGCCCGTCAGCCTCAAGCAGGGTGTTGGTGGCGATGCGGTAGAGGGCGTCCCCGACGCTGGCGCAGTGGCCTTGGCCAGGCACACCAAGTCCCAGCTGGTACATAAACCCCAAATTAAAGTACGCCTTGGGGCTTTGCTTCGCCGCGGCAGCCTCGTAGTGCAGCAACGCTCTCGACATGCTCACGCCCGCTATTTGGCTCTCACCGTAGTAGTAGAAATCCCCCAGTCGCAGGTTCGCCTCCGCGTTGCCGGCGTGCGCACACACACCGTACAGGCGCAGTCGCAGCATGTTCAGTGCCTCGCGCTGCGAAAGAAGTCGCGATTGCGGGAGCGGCGGGCGGGCGGTTTCCCCCGCTGACGCCGACGGCAGGGCGCTGTAGTACCACTGCAGCCACACGGCGCCGCCACCGACGCGCAGGGCACGCTCAGGCGGGCTGCCACTCTTCGCGAAAACCCCGTCCTCAAGCTCGTCCTCGGTCTCCTCGATGATAGGCAGTCGGTCCAGCAGCTGCGCGACTTGGTAACGCGAGGTAGCATGGCCGGTCTCCGCCACGGCGAGCAGTTCCAACGCCTGCAGGAGCATGTTGCCCGCGCGTGAGGCAAGTAGTGCCGCCGTCGTCGCCGAGGAGGCGGAGGAGGAGGAGGCGTCGCTGAGTGCGAGGTACGGCAACTCCGTGCTACGCTCAAAAATGGGGTCAAACGCGGCCACCCGGCTGTACATGCGCACCGCCAGCTCGCAGCTGCCCCGCCGCTGCTCGTGGCGGGCAAGCTGCCAAATGGAGAGGAGGTTGCCCCGCATCGCGGATATGCTAAACTGCTTGATCGCGGCCTCGTGATCCTGCGGCACCCCACGACCATGCAGCAGCAAGACCCCGAGGTTGTGTGCCCCCTCCACACTCCCGCGGCCCGCACTCTCGGCAAAGAACTTTGCCGCCTTCTCAAAGTTCGGCCGCCCTCCCTCCACCGCTGCCTCCGCCTCATCCTCGTCATCGAGGAAGCCAATGGCGTGCAGGTATCCCATACCGTTAAGTGAGACGGCGTCCTTTTCCTTTGCGCCGCGGGAAAAATAAAGCGCGGCAGTCGCAAGGTCTCGCTCAATCGCGGGGCTTGTGGTGCTGTCGCCGGTGGCGTACAGCCTCCCCAAGGCACCGTACGCGGCCACCTCGCCTTTGGCCATGGCTTCCAGAAAGTAACGGCGCGCCTGGCGCCAATTGCGACGCACGCCATGTGTTCCCCTGAAATTGGCGTAGCCAAGTGTCATGATCGCGTCTGTGGCTCCCCCGTCAGCCCGCAGCATAAGCATTTGCATCAACTTTGAATTGTCATGCTCGTCGTGCTTGAAGGGATCCACGATGGACTGCTCGGCGAACCGCTCGGTGGGATTTGGCATGCCGTCATACTTCGCAGCAACGGCGTCGGCGGCCTTGCGGTAGTGCAGTAGGGCGTCCTCGCAGCTCTTTGCGACGCCTACCCCGTCCGCGTAGCGGCGCCCAAGTGCCATGTGCGCCTCAAAGACGTTTTCCAACGCGGCGAAGGTGTAGTGCAGAACCGCCTTGGCGTCGGATTGTGGCACGCCGATGCCATTCGCGTGTAGTACGCCCAGTAACCAGTGCAGACGACCGTGACCGTGCAGCGCGCCCTCCTTGACGCGCTCAACGGCGGCCGAAAGGTTCCCCTCGTACACGGCGCGCACCGCGCTTTGGTACAGCTGCGACAGCTCCTCCCGGGAGAGCGCGATGGACACAAACGGGGACACATCCGCCCCCTCCAGCTCAGCCCCCGGTGCGGGGAAGTCGTTGATGACGCGCCCACGCTGACCCAACTCGGCCGCCACGCCCACGGCGTTGACAGGGCTTACACGACGCTGCGTCTCAGTGGCGTCGCCACTATACTGCTTCGCTTGCGAAGCCGAAGGCGCGGTTTTCTCCCCGCCATGCGTGAACGGCACAACGCGACTTTCCTCCTGCTGCAGCACCAACGCCGAGGCCCCCGCCGCACGAGCCTGGGCCCCGTCTTCTTTTTCCTCCGCTACCGGCAGGAAAGCCTGCTGCGGCGCCTCCGTCGCGTTGGCGGGTGCATGCGGGGGCGGCGGATCAACCACCGCCTCCGCCTCCGCCTCCGCCTCAGCCTCGCCGTTGCCGGGCGTCACGGAAGGGGCGGCGGACGTCGCGGTGGCGGGAAGCAAAACTAAAAGGAGAAGCGGCAACACTAACAGCGTCCGCGGCCACGGCGGCCCTGACATCACCCGGTCGCACGCAGATGGCCGGGGCGCCGCGGCAGGTCCCACACAACAACCCCAGTAAAGCGGAGACGCACACAAACTCTCTCCCTCTCTCTCTC